CGAAAAGCTGATTTCAAATCTGCTTTCTCTATCTGTTATTCGATTGTCTAAAATAAGCTATGACCGTATTTTCCATGAACATTGGCACTGTTTTAGTCAAGCTAAGCTGTGAATATCGCCCAAATTTCTTGTTTTGCTCCTCGAACCAACACTTAGAGAAGAGTGCAATTATTTGAAACTTAGATAGCATGTCTCAACTGCGTTTATCTTCAAAAAAAAAAACTCAAAAAATCAACATGGTGGCTTTACCGTAGTACGAAAAATTATGCGAAGTAAAGCTCACAATCATTCCAAACAATCGATTAGCATCCATTGATATGTATCTCACTACAAATGACCACGGTCATCAAGTATCATTTCCTTGTTAGTGCTGTCCGTAAAAGTTTCAAAGTTTGATATTGAGATAAGATCCACTTGGCTTGTGCTTTAGTATCAGAGTGAGTACCATGAAAAAATCCCAAGAATACTTGGAGGGGTCCCTTTAATCTTGTAGATTATTCCGCCAAAAGCTTGTGTTTTCTAGCTAAAAATCTTATGGTTTGCAATCGCGAAACTAGAAAACGAGAGCCTGCTTTGCATCACTCGAAAGCACTTCGAAAGCACTTCGGATATACCAAGCATATAAAAAGCAGCCATCACGAAGCCTTCTGCTCGAGTGAATAGCGTCAGCAGTGCTGTTAAGGGTAGACGAACAAGAAGCGCGATATCTAGTCTTCGAAGCATCAAAGTTACCAGTTATATTTCCTCAGAAATTTTCTGTTTTTAGAATGTCATAAATCTAAAAGCTGTGTAATTTCCCATCTGGCAATAAAGTCTCTTGACTTACACTCCTGTGGCATCGCATGGACTTCAAAACCGCGAAAATCCCATAACTGTAATGAAGTGAGTATACTAAGTATTCAAGGTAGCTCCTTCATCTGTATGGCAAGAGGCGAGACAGGGAATGATAGGAAGAACGGCGCATCCTTTTGACTGGACTTTTACTTCCAAATATGCAGGAAGTGTACAAAATTGCACGGTGAGTTACATTAAATTCAACTATGCATTCCTAGAGCTATTTCGATCTTGGTGGCAGGTTGAAGTTACTAACGATCCGATCGACCTAGAACGTTTGAAGCGTCAGGAGCCGATAGGATTCTACGCGCAAGTCACGCTTTATGAAGACGAGCTAGCTGATCATGGCACAGCACAGGTAGGGAAGAGACAGGCTGGATTGGTGGCTTGCTCTGTGATTTCTGATTTAGATGTCTGTTCGGATTCGCGTCATGCCAGATTTCTTCTTTGTGCTCATGCGATTTTATCTTCGTATAGACCGGGTATTGGTACGGTTAGTTTGGTCTCGAAAGCTTTTATATGACAGTAGGGAAGATGAGCTTAAAGGGTATGCGATACTCGTCTGGTGGGTGATAACGGCAAAGATTACATTATAAGGGAATGGAGTCTTCGAGAGGCGAAAGTCGCAGATTTACAACATCTTGTAAGTTCCGAAAATCTGTTAAAATGTCGGGGATGTACTTCTCGTTGTTTCACCTCTTTGTCATTTTCAGCCACCTGAGGTTTTACTTGACGGAAACCAAGTATGGGCATCGCTTCCAATTGTCGAGATGAAAAACGAGAAAATCACACCGATCTCATCATGAATGTTGCTTGTGCTTACCTCAACTTTTTCTACTGCCTCGTGAATACTATAATTGTACAAATTTATCTCTCTTTGCTCATCATTCACACTTAAAATTTGCTTTTGATTGTAGTATCGTTTTCTCAAAGGTGTGGTCACCAATGTTTCGCAAGGTTGGAATATGAGATCTGGGGTTGTTCAGCCGAGGAACGCTTAGCTCTAGCTGTTTTAGGTTTAGGGAATAGCTGTTTCAAATTTTGTGAAAGAGCGGGAAGTTACAGGGGCGAAAGGTGCCCTGCTAATTGCTGTCGAAACCTGCCACTTGAGGGTAAAAAAACATTGCTAGACGAAAACCTTATTCAAGCTAATCAGATACTTATACTACTTTATATGGAACTGCGGCCTATTTCTGTGTAACAGTCCTCTCCACTTA